AAAATAACATGGCGTAATTAATGTGTTATGGTGCAAAGCGTTCTTATATCATACTAAAAAATAGAAGAAAAATTAAAAAGCTTCTAAAAATTTTAGGGAGTTCCTTTGAGCCACCATTAATTATTCTATCTCTGTTGTTTTTATAAAATTAATGGTGCATGTTTTAATTAATCTACCAATGTCGCGGCGGTCCTTTGTTAACGAATTCAGAACTTTTCATCTGTACTTTATTGAAAATGTTGATAGCGTCATCGTAATTCAGTAGGACAGAGACTTAGAGGAATTCCATGACTAGTGGTGTGATGTATGTGGGTTGATAAAGTAGGGTGTACTTTATCATAATGTAATGTATAGGACTTTCAATTTACGTGATATATTTCACGATGGAAATGTTTATGAATAAATGGTAAAACAGAGCAAGGGTGGAATGGCTTTACGAGCGTGCGTGAGGTTTAGAGAAACAATAAAAGTTGAACCAAACCACGAGACGTCGGTAATCACGAAGGTGTTTCCTGACTTCGCTATTTACGAGTGGCCGTGTGGCTCAAGATTTAGAATATTGCACTTGCTACCGACTTCTTGGTTTCTCCAACTTTTCATGTTTGCCTAACTTCATGAGATGAGGGCGAAAGGGCAAAACAGCTGCCTTTTAGGCCCGTCGTAAATAGGACGCGAGTGAAGGCGGCGGCCAAGGCTTCAATATTTACAAAAGGTATGTAAGAAAGTGAAAAGGCATTACGGAATGAATTCCATTAAAATTGTTTTGTTAGAAAACAGAAAATTGTTTTTGAAGATTTACTTAGACTTTCATTAATTTATTCAAATGTTTTATTTGTTAAGACGCTTTATTTTGAAAAGTAAATATTTATATAAACGAAAACAATGAGTGGTATTTAATGTGCCGTAAAATCTAGATAGTTTTCTTAATCCCAAACAAGATTAAGTTCATATTTTACATCATTCGTTATGGAACAGTTCATTTGTCTTGTGTGACAGCACATCCAACAAATTGGCATTGAGCAATGGGAACAGGTAAATGTCGTGAACCGCTGGCACGGAATCCTCCACGAAATAAATCAATAGAAAATAATATGTGACGTAGACAAACGCCTTCGGAGCTATTAAAGACGGGTCACATTTGCCTTGTTTACATGTGTATGTTGCAAAATTTAACACATGATGCATGAGACGGAGTTATTTTACTAGTAAGAACCGTATTTCATATCAACAAAGAAATATACTTAATCCGCAAAGTCACGAAACGCTAGTGAAACATTAAAAGTGGCCTAACTATCGAAGAGCCAAAGAACCGTTTTTCCAATTCGATTTATGGATCTATGTTGATAATGAATTCTACTCACGAAGAAACTGTTTTCGTAAACAAATAGCTAGGAAAGAACAGTGGAAGGTGTTCGGGCTGCGATTCATTAGCCTAGAAGTGTGGAAGTGGCGTAGCCGAAGGTCAGCCTTGACACTTGTAATTTATTAGATTTGTTTCAATCCCGGATAATCTTGTTACGTTCAGAGGGTGGACCCATTCTGCGCTTCACTGATCAGTTTTCGGGGACAAGTCGCAGTAGTTTGTTACAGATGTCTGTCGACAGTAAAACGTGCAGCTGTAAATCTGCTAAAGTACGCACAGCATTGTGTAAGTACCATGACGAATATAATCTGGGGAATTTCTTGCAGCAATTCAAATTTGCACCTGTATTATTTACAAATATACGTATAACTCGGAAATACTTTTTGTCATTTTCAAATATTTACAAATGTTATGTAAGTTACTTTAAACGCACGTGTCTGTATTTTAGTTCTGTTTCACAAGTTTATCTATAGTCTGGCAGGTAAATAAATTATATCGCATTTATCAAAATTAAGAACATGTTCTGTTATTCATTTTACATTTTAAACTTTTACATTGCGCGAGCTGTCGTCAAAGGAGGTCTCAGGGGAATTTTCAGAGAAGATGAAATCAGTGACAGAAACAAATAATGCTCTCGAAATATCCTTCTATTTGGAATGACATTGAAACAACCGCACGTGTCGCTACGTAGAATACACGGGTAGTAACTCAAAATTCGCACGTACACATTTTTGTCAGCGATCGTCAACTCTACTATATTCTAGTCCTCTTATAACATATGATCTAGACATATAAATTACTCCAAAAATGTTATTAAATATGCTTAGATCTTAATAAATCAGTGCAATGCAGAACAGGACCGAGGACCACTTGGAAATATCCCATTATTTCGCTGTTTTTGACCCTTCAATCACTATCCCAGCGGTCAACCATCTCTAGTTACATAGGCCTGCGTCGTTATCGTGTCTGTAGTCGAGTCGAAAGGTCACGGCGGCGGCTCTTTCGTTTAGGGTCTTTGTAATATTTCAACGAGATTGGGTAAGATTCATTTCAACGCAAGTTCCAGTGACGGCGTGTAATTGATGAACACTCGCTCAGATTTTGAATAGAATCAGTTTTCGTCTAAGTCAGAACATTTTGATTCGCAGACAGGGTTATTATTTGAGTTTTAGATTTCATTAAAGGTTTGATGAGAAGGACAATCTAAAAGGAAATTTAAATTGTGCGTAGACTTTTCAAATGTTTAATTTTCAATTATAGATTGTTATACAAAATACATCAACACGAAAATACCTATTTAAATTATTTTTTGTAAAGATATCCTGGCTGCAAATATTCTAGGAGCAGACAAATACCATTAAAGTGAAACTACAGAGGACTGAGTTTATTATTGTATTTGTAATTTATTAGTCATAAAAATTACCCATAAAAACGGTATAAAAGGAGAGAGATTTATTTCAATATAAAGATTTGATATAATCAGTGCGTGAGCTATTTTAGATAAAACGAAGTAATAATATTATTACAGCTCTACTGTTATTATTCTGGTTTCTAAGAAATTAACGGACTGAATTACATCCTTTTGTTATGTTTCGGTACTACGTAAGAGCCGAGTGAAGTAAGAAATCACTGCCTCTTCCACAATTTAAACTTTTGAGTATAAAATATGTTATTTCTCTAACTCTGCTCAGATACCTAGTAATTGAAGAGTTGTATGAGCAAAGGGGTAGCTAATTCACAAAACAGGGGTGTTTTCAGCACCAATAACGGTACTCGCTGCCATTGTTTGAATCTTTTGTTTGTAGTCATGCTGGATACCGTAATACCGTTCGACCATTAAAATTCGGGTCAGGCCGTTGACACGAATTTATGAGCGCTTTATGAAATGCTAGCCCTGATTTCACGCTAATGTCAAAGTTTTATTGAAGAACATTACCATATAGCAATACTCTAGTAGAGAGACGATTTCAAGTACAGTTACAGGGGAGTGGAAAAACTAAGCTTTAATTTAAAATTTTTAGAACAATTCCAAGTCATGTTTTGTTGTTGTTGCTAAAGAACTTTTTTTGTGACACTTAAGTGACTGGACGAACAAGTAGTGTACCTGATGATAAGCAATACACCTATCCACAACAGTTGCAGTGCCACTCACAGCTTTAAATCGCAAAAATCTAAGGGTTGCTGCCACTGCGGCTGTCACAAAAATCCCATGTGCCTGTAATTTCACCAGCACCCTAACCCCTCAAAACCAGAACGCAGTAATGCTCACATTATTGCTTGGCGGCAAAAATAGGTAAGGTGGGAATACTTCCTTGGACGAACTCTTTTACAAGGAGCTCTACTACTACTGAACTACTGACATAGGGGAAACGAAAAAGACGCGAAGCTTTGTGTTCAGGCCAAACGCTGGTAATTGATTCGTCCAATTTGCGCTCTTCATAAATCTTGATACATAAATGTGAGAATACATTTTATACAGGCTTACATGTATAAAATCCTATTTATGTATGTACTAGGCAATAGGTCATAACTCCGGCGACCCAGGGCGCTTCGACCGACAAAAGGAGGGTCTCGCGTGAAATGTCGCAATAGATGCGAAGTGCGAACTTTAAATTAAAGAGCGAATCAGGAACGATCATTTTGCTTTACCATTTGTTTAATATACTTAATAACGAATTGATTATTGACGACATTAAACTTGTGTGTAGATGTTTTACGTTGTATTTAAACACATACGTAAATATATACATAGCTATTGGTTTGAAAATAATTATTACAATAATTAATTTTATAAAACTCGTGTTACAAAATTTTCCACAACGCAAACGCTGCTTTGATTAAAATTCTTTATATTCAATTAATGTACCAAGATTTTATTTCTGTAAGCTTAATGTGTGTGTAATATATAATATTGAATAAGCTATTGTTGTTTATGAATATTTCGTAACAAATGTTTAAATATTATAAAACGAAGTAAACGGTCTTTTTACAATTTTGCTTTCACACATTTCGATAACAGCGTTTCCGTTAAAGCTATTATAAAGTTTGTACAACACAATAGACGCTCGAATGAGCGCGTCAAAGTTTATCGACGCAAGAGGGAGACATCGTTATTAAGGATTAGACTTGATTAAATATCTACGGAACTGTCTAAGCAGAATGACACATCCGACAAGTACTCTCTCCAAAGTTGCCCGGTTCCTATGTAAATTTATGACCCATCCCGTTCACGAGTTATCCAAACTAGAATAAAAAGCGCTGCAAATGAGCGGTTTAATTAGAATTTCATAACAAAGTTTTAAAGTTTGTTGCACGATTTAGAATTATAAAAACGGTTTTTGAGTGAAACGAATGCAGTGATAAAATACCAAAGTCACTTAAATTTAAACAGCAATTACTTTCAGTAAAGGTATATTAATATTATTTTTTTGTATAAAACGCATTTTTTAAAACGTTTGGTTCATAACTTAGCCCAGCTAGACCAAACAACAGAGAAATAATGATTTAACATTGCATTGCAGTCTCTTATGCCTGTAATTTCACCAGCACCCTTATTACCTTTATTAGGGTGGCAGTACTTCCCCGGACGAACTATTTCACGAGGAGCTTTACTGCTGCTGAGTTATGAGTGACTGACCTGCAGCTCTAGCCTCCTTGCAGGCGATGACCATGCTGTGTCGCACCTCAGGGTTGTCGTCGGCGATGGTCTCCCCGACGGCAACAAAGCGCTCGACGGCGCAGCACACGGCAGCGCCCACGCGCTGCACCGCCGCGCCTCCCGCTGCTGCTTCACCGCGGGTTGCCACCAAACTGCTGATCTGTTGACCAACAAATGTTTTCGATCATATTTACAGAAAAGTTGTGTTACCCGGTTTTTTATACAATTGGTCTATTTTATTTATTACTACTATGATAATTAGGTAGCTATGTACGTCGCAACAAGCCACTAAGATAAGGAAAAGGGGATGAGGTAGTAATGAGCAGCTATCTGCTATCACTAACTGGTTTGGTTAAGCGTGGTGAATGTGGCAAATTTTCTTTATTTTTATAGACTTATCCACTGGCCATATGAGTCTAATTATTATAGTTTGATTTTACTTTTATTTTATGTACCACCTGTGATTCAAATTTTAAATCGAATCATTTATTTGTAAAATAAAATTTTATGAGTAATTATCATTTTGCAAATGCGTGACTTCATTGTCAGTGAAATTGTTTTTACAATTGCACATTACTTTTTGAAATTTTTGACTAGGTAGGTCAATGGTTTCATGTTTACATAATACTAATGTACATGGTGACTGAATTATATTATGCTGTATTTACTCGGGTAGGCCTCTATAGGTCAATATTATATTAAACACTATATAGTAAAACACATTCTATCATCACATATCATCACATATGCTTTCTTATTCTAAAACTATAGTAGAAAGAAGTCAAAATCTCTAAGTTTCCTTACAATTTCCGAATTTTTGTTCTATTTGTGATTGTAGGTACTCATTACAGGACAGTGACCGTTTAATAAAATGAGATAAAATCAAAACTACGTTTCGTCTCAGCGCTTTGACAGCATGTCCGCGTTTAGATGCGTTTTCAAACTTGATTCATGATTGATTTAAGAACGAAGAACTCAGGCCTTGGAGACTAAGTTTGAACAGGACGTGTTGAAAGAGATTTGTAATCAGAATATGGACAGGACTAAATTTTTTTTCTTTTTACTTGATCTGTATTTAAGTTCGAACAATGGAGCACGTTACGTTATTCAGTCTTCGTTAGTTGCGTCCGATTTTTTCAGAAACAGTTTAACAATGAAACTGTAATTTGATATAAGGCTCAATCACGTGTGTTGTTATAAATATAGATAAATGAAAAGTTTAATACAATGTAAAAGAGCATCATTTGCACAAGTCCGACTTGCGTGTATTTTTCAACATATTTTTAAGTTGTACTTTCAGTGGCACTGAGTAGTATTATTGATTTCACTAATAAAAGTTTTCTATATTCGTACGCACTACAAGTAAGACAGATTTTTTTATTACCTCGAGAAACTAACGTAAAACTTTAGATTTTTTAGGAGATGATTTCGTATTAAAATTAAAGAAAAGACCGTTAAGTACTACATTTAGCATCATAAAAATCACTGTTTTACATACAATTTATATTTTAAAACTTTCTAGGGCATGCGAACTAATTCTGTAGAATAAGACCATTTGATGTATCAGAGTAGCTTGAGACGTCGTTGTCGACGGCGGGCGGGTGGCTCCGGCCGGGAAACCGAGCGAGACCGCGCGCCGCGAGTTGCGTCAAGGTCACTCTTGCACGCGAGCTTCTTCACCACCCGTGACTACTTGTTGCGCGTCCTCGAAGCCTTATAGTCGTGATCGCGCTAGCTGCAAACTTCGACGATGTGCTTCTAAGTTTTCGACACAACCAGTGACGTACCTGGGCCTCCTGGCGCGCGAACTCATCGTCATCGGAGAGCGCGTCCATGTCGTAGGAGGGCGCGCGTGACGCGTGAGCGGTGGGCGCGCGCTCGGCGGCGGCGCGCAGTCGGCGGGCGCGCGCACGTGCTCCGTGGCGCTTGAGGGACACTGCGGCGCCGCGCCGCTCTGCCCGCGTCCGCCGCGGCACTGCCGGTCCGCGGCCCTCCGCGCATCGATCCGGGCCTACCCGCCCGCCCCACGTCACACCACCCCTCGACTTCTCCACGTGGCTTAACAACCCTCGCACTTAACGATAACCTCTAAAAAACTTTTTCCGCTCACCTTTAGGACACGTCCAGTATCAAGTGCTCCTAAGGCGATTGAATACAACGACAAAGTAGTTTCGATTAGATGAATCGCAAGTTTGGTAATACCAAAGCAAAGTCCTTTCGAAATTGGCGCCTTCAGAGTTGGCGGGTCTGCGGCGGCGCGGACTTGTGCAACAGATAGCCGACGTGGGCGGGAAATTTTAACAGTAAACGTCATATGACGTGAAATACGGGCTCGAAGACGTGGCACCGACGATTAAAAGAGGTAATGTTCTCAAAATACCAGACAATTTTAGATGGCACATAAAAGCCGAGTTTATAGTCAGTTTTAAAGCACCGACGTCAGCAACGACTGTCAACTCGTAGCGCCGGACTCGTCTCTCGAGCGTGAAATAGTACAACAATCTGGATAACGTGGGTGCGTATAAACAGAAGGGATAGCATGCACACAAAGCATACCTGCTTGATGAGCGGAAGTAGCGTTCTCTCGATGGAGCGCGTTTTTATTTGGGAAAAGTCTACGTGCGGCTGGCCAGCAGCGGCCGCCATGGCTGGCGCGGGCGCGACTGCGCGGCTGCGCGCGCATTCCGCCACCGTGCCACCATTGGCTCCTTCAGTGTCGTCACGTGGAACCGTGGCCCCCGCACACCCTGCCCCAGCCCTCCCAACGTAAACACATCGTCGTTGCGTGTATACTCACGAGATTATAAAACTTGCTTTTACGTAAATAACTCTGTTACTTACCAAATATAATCTTATGTCAAGGAATTTTCAGTGCAGGTTATTAGTGCAACTGGTGAAGTTTGGAAGTGATGATTAATTATGAAAAAAGCCAAAGAGATGCAGTTAATGTCTTTTATATGGGAGTACACAGATTTTTATATGGGAGTACACATGTCAAATTGATTTTGGAGGTATATAATTGTCAATAAGTTAAACCACATCAATGCAATCAACATTTATTTCAATTACAACCATCCACACAACAAACATATAATAAAACTAATAATCAACTTACGAATAATCATTGGCACATTATCACAAAGATTGTCAATGATTTACAATCGATATTCCGTAATGTTTTACTCGAATCTGATCATTAATAATGGCAAAATTCAAAATATAATTTCGCATTGAGATCTACTATTGATAATAAAAGGGCGGAACACAAAATAAGACAAAAATCGGTTGGCTTAGTACAATGGAACAATCATGGCTAAATTCTTAAAAATATAAGAAACTACAATTGTTTCTGAATGTTGAACCTAGGATTTAAGAATAAGACTTTGGTAGTTCCTCTTAACTTAAACAATTATAAGGTGGTAAATATAGCATAAATTTTCAATAAAAATATAGTTTCTTAATGCTAAGTTTATAAGTAAATAAATTAAGAAAATTGAGAAATAAACATCGTTCGTAGATGCGCATTTCCAAGAGAACTGTGCTAGCATGAGTCTAAATTTACCGCGACATTGATATCGATTCGGAAAGGGGAACGGATTCCTACCTGTTGGCTTTATTTATAACACAATCCAATAAACTATTCTTAGATAAGATTAAAATTTCTAAACTTTAAAATTTAAGTGCTATTCCTCTTCCTTGCATTTAGATTTGAGGAGTTTGGTGTACGAGTATGTAGGTGGTTAACAAATATTTTTAATTGTATTTTTTTATTTATGATTAGAACTAGTAGTAGAAATAAATTCAAAGGTACACTTACAATTATGTGCATAGCTAGCACTTAGCACTTTGGACGGATTTCTTACTAATACTACGCAAAAGGCTAGTTATAATAAACACCCATACTAATCTGGGGTCGCCGTTTATTATATAAAGGTTGTTTCGAACTCATGCTGTCTTGAGAACTATCAGACATCCACGGGCTTTGGCCTGAGGTGTTTCTTACTTTTCTCTTTCGAAGACTTTCTGTAGGTCCTAAAGTTGGTCTTAAAAGTTGTTTAAATCTGAAAGGACCTTCCGTGTAGTCGTCGTCCGAGCTAAATACTGGAGTGGCGAGAATTTCTGGAGAGTTTCTAAGAATCTTGCGTAGATCTGATTCCGGGTCGTAAGCAGGGCTATACACGAGGCGAGGACGTGGTTCTTTTTGGGCTTGTCGAACCAATTCATGGATTTTGTTACTGTAAATTGAAATAAAGTAGATCAGTAGAGTCAATAACATTTTTTTAACGCTGTCTATTTTTGAAAAATAATTTCGGATTTCAAATGGCGTATATTTATTTTCTTAAACAAACTAACGCATCGGCCCCTCTAAAGGTCTCATGTTCACTGCTGACGTGTTTCAGATGCAAAAAACAAATACATGCCATTTAAATCCAAAAAATTGTTTCATTTTCTATGTGTAACAATCGCGAAAACCTATAAAAACTCGATTATCTATTTTGTTTCAGAGGCATGTTCCACGAATTGTACGTGTTACGTCTAGATGTCTTCATAGTCTCTGTTCACTACTGTTATATTTCTTCCTTTAAAGGTTTTTTAAATAAAAATTAAGTGACGGGACGAGCAAGTCGTGCGCCTGATGTTAAGCGACACGTCTGTCCATAACAGCTGCAGTACCACAAGTGTACTGGTGTCACAACATTATACTGGCTACTCTACAAGTGACAATTTAAAATATTCATACCCATGTTTTCTGTTATCCAAACGATAAAGCGTGCATCAGAAATGTCAAAGATTAGAATCAAGGCCAGAAGTTGGTATAGTCATTATGAATGTGGTACCTGACAAGGCCTCCACACTGCCGGCTGCAGGGCAGGTTCTGCCAGTTCTGATTGGTCTGGAGGTGGCGGTCCGACTCGTTGTTGCTGTTCCTGTTGTACCTGGTTAGAGATTTGTGATTATGTCCATTTTTATTTGGTTTTGTGATGTTGAAGTTACTACCTTTATAAAAGTTCCTCCCATTACGTATTATAAATAAAGGAACCCAAAGAATAACGCCAGGATCATAGCAAGAGGTATTATTACGTACTTGTGTGTATAAGCAGTATGAAAATGTAACAACTTTAAAATTGGTGAATACATGACACTCTCTAAGATGATCTAGCATAATTTGTCGATGGTTACTCTAAAATCTCTGTACAATAACATAGAATATCTAAATGGATATGTTCACGATGTTAATATTTAATACCTAACAATCCTTGGAGTTTCGAATTCTTTAGACAGCAAAGGTTCGTCCCAAGGCCTCGCAGGGCTCTCGAGAAACTCGGGTGATGGGCTGTTGTTCATAGAAAGCGTGTGAAGAAATAAGGTACATAAATAAATTAGAGGGAATAATACATACCTACATATAACATAATACACGTACATATATATACGTATAACTCGCATAATAATATACTTATGAAATATGATGAAAGTTGGAAGGACAGTAAGTTTAACACAAGTTTCGATAGTAGCGTGCTACGCATTCTTATTTCTCCCGTGTAAACAATCTTTAATTAAACGTTTACTCCAGTTCGATGCTGATAATTAATGGTCTTCACGTAATGCGATTAAGTACGTCCATTAACTTATTGTAATCTATGAACATTTTTAAGTAGTCTTAGTTGTATACAGGTAAATGGATCAAATTTAGTATTCAAAATTGTCGAAAATTTCCATCATAGGTACTTCAGTTTTTCGTAATTTTCAGTCTATTTTCAAGAAGGGGTACCACTTGGTAGATGGTACACTTTGGATAAGCATTTTTATATTTATTTTTATTTGTTTGTACATAGTTATACTGCCCTTATATTCAACTATTTTTTGTGAAAGTACTTTGTTATTATTATTTATACAAACATAGAACAAATACAAAGAAAAATTCTTTCGATCCGATTGGACTCGATCCAGTGTCTGTTGCCTCAATGTGGCTCCCATTCTTACTAACAGAGCTACAATTTTTTGTTTGATTGAGTACAATACAATATAATGTGTACCTGGAGAGCCTGCTAGCATCCTGTTCGACCTGTGACGGCTGTCCCCTGACGATGGCGGGAACCAGCGTGAACCCAGGCGGGGACCGGTACTCAGCCGGCGGCCGTTGTACTTTCGACAGCTCGATGCCTGGCTTATTGCGGCGTAGGTTCTTGTGCACTTCTTGGTTCTTATCGTGTACCTGCAGTGAACAGTGAAAGGAATGTTAATGATTTTATACGTTTTCAGGGCTTTGTTAAGAATATAGTTTCTGCAACACGTTGGACATGTTTACTGCAACCAGCATCGATGATTGTAGACAAGCGTGACGGTCTTATCCTAAAATTTTGATGGAAATACTCATGGGAGTATATATGTAGATATATATCCGGAACTAACAGTTTCGGAATGGTTATATTGTGCCCTCCTTGTTCCTTTTAAATAAATTACTTACTAAATTAATTTTAAGACAAATTGTTACTAAATGATTACTAAGGATGATAAATATTTTTTATACATCACATACGAGTATTTATTTAAACAAACACATACACAACAAACTTATTTTTGAATATTAATTATTTTTGGCTATTTACAGATAACTAATAGAGAATAAAATACCATTGCTCTGAATATTGCCTGAACATAGTATAAAGCTATAATGTTGTCGTTGAACATTGTGTAAGTGGTAACCTAGCTCAATTTTGTACGATATAATTTGTTATAGTCATCGTCAAAAATTTTTAAGCATACGGATATATTTATTGCAAACAGATTCTGCTCTGTTTGGTCTTGTTAGGTTAACATACTATGATGTATAAAATTAAATCAACAGGCTAAGCATGGGCTGGCAACCGCTATACTGCGGTAGCAGCGGTGGTCGGCCGGTGGCGTGGCGTGTTAAAAATGTTACAAACATGAACAAATCAACGACTGTGGGCTACGCTGCGGTTGGGACATACATAATTATGTGTTTTAGGGATTACATTTTTATTGAAATTATTTCTTAGTTTATGACAGTTTTTTCTTCATATACAGCCTGACTTCAGCTAATGGTGGGTGAAGTCAGGTTGTATATGAAGAAAATCCTCCTATAGCTTCCTAATCCTATGGCCTCCAAGCTTCTGTGCGACTCAATCACACTCCTGAACATCTCACTTCCAACTGTTACACTTGGATTTGTGACGTTGGAGATGGTTGCCATAACCTTAGTCTTAGATATATTCATCTTGAGGCCCACCCACATAGAAGCATCATACAGTTGTGGCAGCATACGCTGGAGATCGTTAAAGTTTTCAGTGAAGAGTACTAGGTCGTCTGCAAACCGTAAGTGGACCAGCAACACTCCATTGATGTTAACGCCACATTTTGTCCAATAAAGTGTTTTTACTACGTCTTCTAGGACAGCAGTAAAAAGTTTTGGCGAAGTGATTTCACCCTGCCGTACTCCCCTTTTGATACAGGTATAGGGTTGTTTAGTTCATGCATTCGAACATAGAGTTGCAGATGAGTACAACTCCCGAAGTACATCTATACGAGAGCGTGGAACACGGCTTAATGTTCAACACTGTCGAAAGCTTTTTCAGATTCAACGAAGGCCATGGGAAGGGGTCAGTTGTACTCGTGACACTTCTTCATCAACTGCTTCACCGTGTGGATGTGGTCTATGGTGGAGAAGCCAATTCGAAAGTCGGCTTGTTCGATAGGCTGACATTCATCAACGGAGTTAAGCGATTTGTTATTAATTTTGAAAAAAGTTTGTAAATTTGGGACAATAAAGTAATAGTGTGGTAGTTACTCAATTTGTCAATATCCCCTTTTTCGTGTAAAATTGTGACTAACGCGTTCTTCCATTGTCTTGGCGTTCGTTTCTTGTAAGACTTTTTTTCTTATGGCTCAACAATTTAGCGAAGACATACTAAATGTTGCTGAATTTTATTATATTTTCCTTATGAGTAATTTGTCATGATCATGATATTAATATTACTGAAGATAAACTTAAAGGAAGTTATGACACACAGAGTGAATGATACCTTTCTCTGAAATCTCAGTATTATTGTAATGTATTTTGTTCTATGTTTTTAACACGTAACTACACATAATTACTCCACTACGGTAGCGTATTTAGAAGAAAAGTTGTTAGCAAAAATATATTAATTTGTATTAATTGCTTGCGTTTTATTTTTCATCATTCCGGATTTCAGAGGGAAGTATTTTCAATTGTATGTGTATTACTTGAAATTTAGGTAAATTTTCCTCCAAGTTCGATCAAGTAAGATCTTTCCAAAACCTCGGGAAAAAAACCATGCGATAAGTTCAACAGCCATGAGATAAGTTCTAATTTGCCAATTTTAGAAAGGTTTTAACTAGAGACGTTACGAATAGTAATTTGATCGAATACCGAATATTCGATCACGCTCTCGGCCTATTTGTCAAATGTTCAACGTTCGATTTGTGCATATAGCGTGTGACAGGTCAACAAACGCAAGACAGCATCGAAGCATCCTAAAAATCACAAACGTTGTTTTTCACGATTCGGTATTCAGCCATATAGTACGCAGTATTTGGCCGAATACTTTAGGCAGTGGCCGAATAGGGCGAATACCGAATAGTAGTGGATGAAGAATATTTGTGGCATCTTTGCTTTGAACAGTATATTTTTAATGCGACGGCAACTAATTCGGCATTTCTAAAAATATTGTTGTGTGTTTTAAGCTAAAAGAGAGTAAAAGAGAACATTTTTCCCTTGTCAAATTAGTTTATTAAGGTTTGTGACTCACAAAGTGGACCCTTTTAAGATGATGTGGTGTGGTAATAGTGGCTTTGTCAGCATATACCTGGTCTGCGAAGGTATGCAGCTGCGCGGCTCGTTCCTGCGCGGAGTATTGTTGAATAAGCTGGTGAGGAGTGGGAGGAGCCGGGTGCTCCGGCGGCGGGGGTGCTCGTCCCTTAGCCCACTTGCGGCGCGCTGTATACCCGCGGAAATCTGCATTCAGTATGGGTCATGTTTCATTCGCTATAGACGTAGCCATTCTTAGACTAAAGAGTGCGGGCTTTTGACGACCCAAAAATATTGGCTGTCAAAATCACAAATTTATTGCGGAACCAGCGGTCTTTGGTGATAACCAAAGATTTTAAGAGTTTTAGTTAGATATAACTAAAACTCTTAAAATCACATAGGTTTTTCATGAACGATCAAAAGGATCATTTTAAAACTTGTTTGATTATGATAAGTAGAGTCAGAAAATATTCCAAAAGTGTTTCTATTTTAACGCACTGAACCATGTATATAATTTGAGTACTGTGGACTTTATTACTCACGGCTCTGTATGATGACAGCAGCTTTGTTGGAGTGGATGTTTTCCTTATTGCTAGAGTTGGTTTTGTCGTTATTGTCATCCTGTGACGTCATCCGCCCGAGTACCTTCGCCTTCATCATTGCTTTATTTATGTTCGGCACTCCTGGAATGATTAAGCGTTTCTTTAATTCATATATTTACAAAATAATTCACAGAAAACTGTATTGTTTTCTGTGAATTATTTATCTTTCCTATCGGATTGTATTCTTACTTATCTCTATTTAATATTTTTATTTATTTACCAGCAGTAAGAGTTCGTCCATGGAAGTACTGGAACTTTACCTATTCCTGCTGCCAAACGGTAATGTTACCGTTTGGCGGAACGAATAAAAGCTTCAAAGCTCCCATGAGCTTTGAAGAGTAAGGGTGCTGGCGACGTTACAGGCACATAGAATTTGTCATGTTATGTCTCAGGGTGCCGGGCGCTGTGGCAGTGCCCTTTAAGTCTTTGTGATGTTAAGCTCTGAGTGGCATTGCAACTGCTATGGACAGGCGTGTCGTTTACCACCAGGCGCACGACTTGGTCGTTCCGTCACTTAGTATCATAAAAAAATTTTTGTTGGAATAGATATAATACGCCTGGACTTATCAAATAAAAACTAAACTATGGCGCTAATATTGTGCATGGTAGCAGTTCGCATATTATGTAGGAATATGTCGTGTAGAAAATAAAAGTCACCTGGTTTTTGATGTTTCCTAGCTTCGTGTTCCATTTGCTCTCTCTGGAACTCCCGGGCCAGCTGTCTCTGGCGTTCTTGCAGCTTCTTGCGAGTAAGCCAGCCACGCACGTGTCGCTGCAGCGTCAGCACCGAAATAGCCATCTGCGCGCGCAGCCGCTGCACGTACACGCGTGCCAGCCACCGTCGCGCGCACGCTTGCACCAGCACCACTTTTCTTATCTACAACAATTCAGAACTGATAACTGTCTAAAGAACAATGTATCTAGACACTTCCTTCGTTTCTCAGCTAACTATATTGATGGATGACATATTATGTTATCGCTATATCATTTTGGTGGAGATTACAAATTTACGAAGAAGGTACCTGTTCTTCGTAGACTCTTGCTAGCATTTCAATGTGGTAATATTTCAAAAACACTTTCGACTTTCCGAGCGCCCATCCATCCATTTTGAGTCTCAACAGCAAGAGACGGCACGTATCTCGGACTGGCTTCACGACTTCATCGTAGCTGAACGCAAGGAAACTGTATCTGTAAAAAGTTTTGAATGTTGAATTGTTGCTAAGTAACAGACGAGGGAACTGAAAAGCTAAGTGTAAAGTACATAATATGTATGAAAGAAGTACCTTTTCAAGAACTCTTCAAATGTCAGTCGATGTGAGAATCCATTCTGTCGTATCCTAATTGTTTCTAGTACTCCTGTGTACCGAAGCTGCCTTAAAATTTTTGACGAATCAAAATGTTTGGGCGACCTCGAATCATTTGGTTTCAAACATCTAACAAACTGCGGTGTGCCGCTAACCATTTTCTGAAGCAGTTCCATGAGAGAATAGCGGAAGTATGTTGATACGGTCTGCTGGGCTCGGGATTGAGACGCCAATCCACGGCTGTTGAATCGATCCTAGAAGTAAAATTTACAAGTGTTAATAATATCGAGCTAATTAATTACTTATCAGTATTTAGTGTGATTATGAAGAGGAATATTGTTTTATGAATTTTTGAGTACACGGTATGGTACAAGATTAGAATACAAGAATAATGTTTACCCTAGTATCTCCAGAATTAGGACTATCCAAGCTCCTGGAATCGATATCTCCTTGCAGCGGTGAGTATAAGTTGCCCGTCTTCGTGATGGGACATTGAAAGAGGAATCTAATAATATCGTACTGACTTTGCCTCATTAATTGGACCACTTCAGGAGGCAAGAAATTCCTGTTTTTCTCTAGGAATCCATCAGCTTGGTATACCACGCGACCCGCGAAATGATGGATTGCAAAACAAATTGCATCAGATTTTGGTCGGACATAATACTTGCTCTTGATGTTGTTGTGAAATTTTTCTGTGAAAACGACCGGTACACATAAATGCACTTGTTTAGGTTTGTACCAAGTGGGTCAATGAATAATTAAAATAAGAAAGTAGCCCATAAATAAAATAATTTTCTTTTGTTCTATTTTAACTTAACTTACCAATGAGACTTCTGTCGGTTGCTCTAGGGAAGCGGCTTTCTTCATCTAATAAGGCTAATAAACCTATTGGTCTGGATAGCAGCATATCTAAAATTGGTCGATTGTCGGAAAATTCAACGAGATCAACTGGCACTCCTTCGGCCATATATTCTTGCTGCTCCCATGTGAAAATATGCTGATTAAAGTAATACTGAATTTGCTCGTTTGCAATGTTGATGCAGAGTTGTTCAAAAGAATTTCTAGTAAAGTTTTCGAACCCGAAAATGTCGAGTATTCCAACCGAGAGTGGGTCGTTTCTGAAAGATTTTATTAATATTTTTAATTTCTAACAATTGTGATAAATGCTATTTTTGTATTGTTACTAACCCATGTGGTCTGTTCTGACAGAGCAACGCGTTGATTCTCTCAACAATTCTATCGAATGCTCTTGCGTACAATCCACGAGCGGTCGCGTCCCTAGCAACTGCTGCTTCAGTAGGGGAACTGTAACGAGCTATAGTTTCTCCTCTGGCAACTACGCTACTGCTTGTCAAACATTCTCGAAGATCAGATGTTTCAACACCCAAGAGGCAGGACGCTGATAAAAAAAATCAATTATTCCAACGTCAGGCCCAAATTGTTTGTTTACTCATTGTTTAAATTGTGCTTTATGTGTTGTTTCATAAATGTCTTTACATAAAATGAACTCACCTCTGTGCAAAGGGGCAGTATCAATGATAGTAGCTCTGTTGTCAGTATTATCTTCACCAGCGGCCTCTCCAAATTCAATATCTCCGAGGTGTAGAATGGCAGCTAGCATTTTGTATATTATTTGTACCTCCTCTTCTTGGAATCCTACCACCTACATCAATAAAGTTCGTAAATTACTCTACACTCATTATGATTATTATTCAATTGAATAGAATGTGTACCTTAAAAGCTTGATTCAATTGTCGCCATCGATGCACGTTATGTTCTCTATGAGCAACTGATAGAGGTTGCAAGTATCTGTGCCTGGATTTCAGTTGTTCGTTCAAGTAGAATTTCCTCCACTGACCTTCACTTTCTAATCCGTCATAGAGGTAATAGAACACGTGAAAATTACTTTCGCCACTAAAACGTAAATAAATCACAAGTTTTAGGTATAAAATCTTTTAGTAAAAACGTTATGATTATCTTTGTTTGTTAAACTTACAGAGCTTGGTGAATTACTCGTGATTGCTCGAGTAGGTAAACTGATATTCGAGCCGCCGATATGCGCCCAACCCTCATCATAGACAAATCCAAATATTTGCCAAATCGAGAGCTATTGGCGTTTATGCCCGTTCTAGCGTTCCCAAAAGCCTCCATAATCGGGTTCACTTGAAGGATTCTCTCTTCCAAGTTCTTATTTTGCGCCTGTAAAGTTATCATTTGATTGAATATTTTGTATGCTTGCTACGGTAATGTCTTGTTGCACTTTATACAAAGGCACACTGTAAAACAATCTACGCACCTTAGATAAAAACACAAGCTGTTTTAGTAATAAGTTGGCAGATTCAGTTTTCCCAGCTCCACTTTCTCCAGAAATGACTATAGCTTGGTGAACCTTTTGATGCATAAGGGCTTGATGAGCAGCGTCGGCTACAGCGTAAATATGAGGAGGATTATCTGAACGACACCGGCCTTGGTATATCTGTTGAGCCTAGAAAAATTCACTTTTTGTAACATTTATAAAAAATTACAATGCATTACACAATAGGCAACGCTAACGCGAGGTTGAAGTTTTACCTTGGTCGTATAAATTCCAATATCAGTAAAAGGATTGACCGCAACTAGAATGTCGCCAATATAAGTATAAATTTGATTTTCAGTGTATCTTTTTTGAAGTTGTTCGACGATGGCATCTTCAGTAAGAACTTCTAGCGAAGCTAGATCGTCTGTATACATTTTTTCGGGGCGTGCTTTTCTATGTGATTTGAGTTTGCCTCTTTTTGTTGTCGCCTCTGGTGCACGACAGCTCCTGCCTTCAGCTCTTTGTCGTTTAATTTCGGCTTGGAGTTCTTTACGTATCTAAAGGGAGGTAATGGTATTCAATCAAAAGCAGAGCAAATTTAAATAAATGTGCCTATACAATTATGATTCAGTAATAAACAACGCAGTTTGTTATTTCAATAGGAAATATGTAACTGTTCTATGTACAATTTTTATTTACCTCATCATCATCAACGTGGGTGGAACTGCTGCGCTCAAGGTTTTAAATTTACCAACCGATTTAGTTTGTTATACGTATATATTGTTATAAATATGTTTATTTTGACTGTTATAAATTTAATAAATACTGAAATATACCTTACCTTATCCTCAAAACTACTAACAGCGAGTAGTAATGGGTGTTCTAAAAGTTCTCGTGCAAAAGGTCTTTGGTTCATATCTTTGACCAGACACTCCGATATAAAATCGACGAGTTGAGGAGAGAAGAGTTCTGGATGTGAAAGATTCGGAGGAGGGTTTCGAGGTATTTGAAATAGTGCCCTCATGGGATGGAGCCCCGATAGTGGAGGTTCTCCTTCCGCAAGCTCTATAGCCGTGATGCCTACAGACCAGACGTCGCATCTGCAATCGTACGACTGGTCTAGCTGTTGTTCGCATGCTATTACCTGTAAGTATAATGGTTTCAAAGAAATAATCTAAACTATCCCTTGTTAGATCTAAGAGTGGTTACAAACGGCGACTTTTAGCGGCGATGCAAACGCGCTATTGCATCGCTACACTTGCTATTTACAGGCCATTGCATCGATGCAATCGCGTGTTTGTATCGATGCAATGGCCTGAAAATCCCAAGACAAGCGACGCAATCGCGCGTTTGTATCGATGCAGTCGCGCGCTTGCGTTGCGTGTGCATCGCCGCTAAAAGTCGCCCCGTGTAACAGCTCTAAGATGTCATAGTGTATTTACCTCCGGAGCCATCCAATATGGTGTTCCTACAGAAGTGTTTCTCCTAGCAGCAGTGGCAGCCAAGTGCGAGGAGACACCGAAGTCTACAAGTTTCACCTCAGCATCTTCAGTAAGAAGAATATTGTGTCCTTTGACGTCACGGTGCATGCACCGGTGGGCGTGGAGATGAGTCAGAGCACGGACGGTGCCTCGCAGCACATACGCGAGCTGCGGCTCGGTGAGGCTGCTTCCACGGGCCCGCATACCCGCACACAGGTCCGTCACTGAACCGCCAGTACATAGCTGAAAATGCCAATTTATATTATTGTTTTCTTTTTACTTAAAACGTACGCAACAAATATATAAAATAGGCGATATCAATTCCCAATTATATTCCCCTTACCTCCATAACGAACCATATTTGGTCATCATCAGAACTTAATCCGCGTTTCAAAAAAAGTCCAAAGAATTCTGGAATATTAGGGTGACCAGACAAATCCCGAAAAACTAAAAACTCCTCTTCTATTTCTTCGATGTTCTCTGTAATGTTTTCTAAAATCTGAAACAGACGAGACAGATAACATTCAATAATAATAATGTAATGACATAATGTATGTGAATATTGTATTCCATTACGTGTTACATTGACACAAAGCACCTACTCGTAATCTAAAAAAGAGAGGCTCCTGGTATTGTTTTACGGCCTTGACATATTGATGTCAAGGCCATACAAAGATTTGAGATTTTGTGATAGCACTATGTATACAATTCGTTTAAAATATCAAATACCATCAGTATTTTATTCTTTAAATTAACATAATTATGTAACCGTGCCGACCAGCTCCGTTCTTGTATGCCTCATAAGATTGCAATTTGGTAAACGTAATAATGCATTATGTAAATAATATTAATAAATTAAAAATTAAAAATTTGCTTTTGCAACTTGGGAGATGCTAGAATCGAAAATAAATATAATAATAATAAACAGCTTTACTTATATTTATCTACATTAAATAATAATATCACCTAAAGTTATACGTGTAGGTAACAAGGTTGATTAATATGAAATCCGTAGATCACATGAACACAAATTGCAAGTATCTACTTGTTGTTTTTTATATAGTGATTGTATATTTATCGTAATTAATCATCTTACAAATATTATATCTTGTCATCCACGGAAATTGTTAAAAGTTACGTAGCTGTTGTAGTGCTATGTAATCTACACGTAGTTATGTTTCTAAGCGTTTATGTACGTGAGTGAGTACAAGAATGTTTTAGATTTAGGGCTTGCTAGAGACATTTCTCTCGCGTCCGATTTCACCATGCCTAGTCATAAAGTGAGTCACACAAATAATGAGTGTGTTTATTCGCGCAATAACACAAATAATCCGCATAATCGCAATAATCCCTAGCTTTCAAAACTCTTTCACGCAAATTGTTTATTTTTACATCTGCATTCTAGATATGAGCGTTATAATTATAAAAGACATTGAAGTTTTTTTTATTCGTAAGCTTGTGCTTATCTTAACTTTTTTAAATTATAATAATTTAATTTTTTTAACTGCCTCCGTGGCCGAACAGTACCATGCCGGACTCCCACCCGGAGGTCCCAGGTTCGATTCCCGGGCCAGGAGAAATATTTGTATGGCCTACATTTATTTCTCTCGTGAGTTTGGGTGTAATTTGTGGTTGTCTATGTGTGTGTCCATGGCACCCGCAACACAGGGTTTCCCTAGTGCGGGGCTATGTTGAGTGTGAGTGTTATTATTATTATTATTATTATGTAATAAAAAAGTCTTGGAAGCAGTAGAGCTCCTTGTAAAAGAGTTCGTTCAAGGTAATACTGCCGCCTTGCCTATTTCTGCCGCCAAGCAGTAGTGTCAGCATTAATGTGTTCCGGTTTTGAAGGGTGCTGGAGAAATTACAGGCACATGGGACTTGTCAAGTTATGTCTCAGGGTGACGGGCGCAGTGGCAGTGCCCCTCAGATCTTTGCGATTTAAAACTCGAAGTGGTACTGCAACTGTTTTAAAAATAGGCGTGAAGATTACCACCAGGCACACGATTTGTTTGTCCCAGCACTCAGTATTGTAAAAAATCTGTAACTGTTTATAACAAAACATAACATTTAATTCTACTCGTAAGTAGTAAGTATGTAGGGTGTGCGTGGAATGTGTTTGTGTATTTTTTTATTATATTACGTGACGGGACGAACAAGTCGCGCGCCTGCTGGTAAACCACTGTCTAACAGTCTTTTAGCAATTTACCAGGAACGCAGCAAAAGTTGAATACGTTGCGTAGCTGGTAGAGTGGTAAGTAGTGTTTAGAGCATAGTTTCCCAAAGTGGTCCCTACACCCCAAATGGGTGCTGAAGAGGGGTCTCGGAAGCAATCGGGAGGCGTTGATGTTGTACAGGGCGTGCTACCACATTTGAAAAAAAGAAAACCTAAATTATGTATATAAACTACACTACAAATATATAAAACTTTTTCCTTGTAATTTTTTGTATTAAGTTAATATAAATACGTATAATAATAAAAAATACGTATTTTCAATTATTTTTTGTGGTCTGCGTTGAAATTTTTTTTATCTTGCTTAGGCGGTGAGCCAAGAAGTTTGGTAACTTATGGTTTAGAGTAACTGTGAGACCAAGAAATGTGTAGATACCTTAACAGCGACCCGTCTGCCTAACTTGTTATCGCGTGCGCAGTAGACTTCACCGTAGGTGCCCTCACCGATGAGCTCGTGCAGCGTGAACCGGTCGCGCGGGTCGGCCGCGCGCTCCAGCTGCACGTGCTGGGACAGCCCGCGGTAGGCCAACTCGCTGCGCATGCTCACTCGGCCCCGTTACTCGCTTCACATTTAGATCGCATCTGGAATATCATAATACACATTTTTAATTTCCACACATCTTGCTACAAGTTACACATGCCACGCTGTTTATAGTAAACCCATTACTATTGTATCGAACACAATTAACGTAATGCGCATACTCAGTACAAAGATTATATAAAAATGCTGCTGAGAAATTCCAGTGTGTACTTAATTAATTTTGTTTCAAATAATGAGGACCGTGCTTTAAGCATTCGGCGGTGCATTCAGACACGACTACGCACCTCGCACGATCACGAGCGGTACAATAAACGCTGTATTAATTAGCACAATTAATGCAACTACTTACTAGAAAAAAATATAGCAATTAGTACGTGAATCCGTTGAAACGTCCGGCAATAAATGGGTCTATTGAATGTTGTACATTATATGAAAGTGTTATTGAACTTTATCAGAACTAATTCGCTGTTAATAGCACCATTGACGATTTCTCTACGAAATTTATTACGATTTTATCACTTTTGCTTTCTTTACGGTTTACGCAACCAATCGCTTGCTACAATTTAGATGGATCGAAATTTTAATTGGTTTATTCAAATGAGGTACATCAGATTATTAAATGCTACTAGTATGCAAAGTAAATAGAGTAATAAAATTAGTATGCGCACAAGATAACATCCATCATCCGATCTTAATAAGGTGGACCGCCGTCATTGCTTTGACGGAAAAGGAAAGGTATGGAATTTGTAAACAAAACGTCAAGTGTCGGACGACAAATGTACCGTTGCAAGCGCAGGCGACCACCTCCGCAACCGCTGCTGCCTACGCGTGCATGTCGCGGGGTGAAGCTGGTATTAGCTGTCATATAAAGTTCTTGTAAGGTGTCAACTGAGCTCACTCTCACAGAAAATGTGCGTGATTAAAGAAATAAACAATAAAAAGCAAATTATAGTATTTTATAGATCATTATCACGTCAAAGGATTAAAATATTATTTACATAATTAATATGCATATACACTACGCTCTTAAAATTCATTTTAGATTAAGACGCTTAACTTGAGATAAGCGAATTCTTTTAAAAAATCGTAGCGTAATGTAATTTTGTTAAGATTTTAAGATATACTTTCATCATCACTTCGTTTTGATATATTGTTGACTGCTGAGAAGCATTTAAGGTTTTATGCGCCAACCGCCTTAACAGTGTGAGTTATTTTTTGTTACCTATTTTTATTCTACACGTGATGTAATTTAATATCAAACGGATTCTATTCGAGCCAGTGTCCCGACAGTAATTGAAATTCCCTTTTTGAATGACAGAAAACTTTTTTTAAACATATCTTTTATACTTACAAACTTAAAATACTAATAATCAAAGAGCTATTCAAAAATTTCGTACATTCACATCTCCTTTAAATTCGAAGTTAGTGAATGTGATTTCTTTTTAAATTCTTTCGTATGTATAAATATGGTAATTAATTCTATAGCACTCAACTTCACTAATCTTTCCATGTAAGTAAATATTAGATAAACATCGTATAAATATTCTAGTTAGAGGCGTCAAATGAGACTAAAATAACACGATTGCTTATATTAGCATAGAAATAAAAAAATCAATCCAAAAGTGCTTTTTACATTCTAATCAGCATAACATCACCGTTACATGAGATATGTGAACAACATTTTTGTAGGCAGCGTGCTATGTGATACGCATTTTACGTAAAATACTTAGCTACCTTCACCATCACGTAATTGACATGTCAATCCACAGTTAGGGTAAAGAACACTTGTAATCAGTGTGCTCTACATGTACGTCAGATATTGGTTACATTAGTGACCGTAGTGTCGTAACTTCAGTTCCTTTATTGACTTTTTGCACAAGTGCGGTGTCAAATTGGTGTCAACCTTGTAAAGGCATATGGCGCAACTAGGTAACGTGATTCGACAAAAATATTTATATTACGCGTGAATTTGAATTGCAAGCTTACTAGGTACGATAAACAGAGTATTTCAATAGAAATCAATTGACACAGTTTTAATTTACAAAGGAAATAAATTTGTATAGAACGAATAACGTCCACTGTTCTCGATTTGTAATATATTTGGGTTAACGTTTTTGTAAAACAGTTACGTTTCTCAATAAGAGACAATAAGCACAACATTCTTGGTAAAGGCTTTGTGATCATATTGCAATATGACGAATCAGTGATATCATAGAGCTCCATAGTACATTGCTTGGTGATGGTGACTGCTGGTAGATGGATTCTATATCAATAAATCAAAAGTGACAATTCTAATTTACAAAGAAAACAAACCTGAATATAAAGTAATTAGAAAGTATTTTACGTAAACGATTAAAAAGCAAAAAATTATTCCAATAATCGCTAAAACCATAGATAGACATAGATATGGGGTAGCAGCCACCGAGCCGTTGAACTAATCCATCAAACAACGTCGCCAGGTAATTAGCCTACACAATGCAGTGTAGGCAATAAAATAGTTTCATGCAAAAACACCTTCCTCTGTTTGTAGACGATCGGACGCGACGCCACGCGATCTGAAGCGACACTTTCACTGTTTGTTTTTGTTATGGAGTCTGACAACCAGTTAGCCACCGAACTGGCATCTTATTCCTAAAGCTCATAAGAAATATGTGGAAATATACATTAAAGTTATTTTGTGATTTTAGTGTCTCCAGCTTTGAAAATAATTTTAAATACTTAATAAGACAACAGCTGTCATAAACAACCAGCTTTCATTTTCAATATCGATATTTCTCGGAATATATCGTATTTGTTACTCACGTTTGTATAATGCGCTTCCTAGTTATCAAATTTACGGATAACTGACGGCGGGAAAAAAAATGGAAAATTATACGTTTCGTGTTACGTGTTCTCGGCCACCGCCCATAAAATGCTATTGTTAGTTGTTCCTGTTATGTTAACAATGACAATATATTCTCAAACTGTGTTGGATCTAGATCATGCCTTTTAATTACCAACTAGAAACTACAATTAGAAGAGAGGAATTTAGAAAAACCTTTCGTGAGACCTCATGTGTCGTCCTCGACTATGTTTTCCCATGAATAATTTTATGCTAATGATATTAAAGTTCTCAGGCTCTGCGGGTCTTATTGTTACGGTTTCCTGTAGTATTTTGAGATTTCTTATGCCACTTTGTATTTATTTGTATTTACATACAAAAGAAATGATAATTAAATTTCAAGGTTAACTTCAAACTGGTAAATTATGGATATGTAATTGCAGAAAGTCTTAAAACATCAAATGTTGGACTGGTAATGGTAATGAGTCTCTATACCAGGCGAGTTTACCGCAACTTTTGGTTAGTCGGAACTCGTGTGCTAGTGATAGGTTATTTGAGAAATTACCTCGTACTAGCGACTTAGTGAATGGTGTGAAACAGAACTTTTCTTTTACATCATAATCAATTATAGCATTACTATACATTCGGTGGAACGGTGAAAGTTATTCAATTTTAACAACATGGTCTGGCAATAGTAAAATTATGTAAGGGGCGAATATACTGTGTTCAATTGGTTTGTAATATAATGTTTATTTGAATTATTTGTAACGTAGGATTTTAAAACGTCAGTAAAGGCTTTGTTGCCACAACATGGGTACTCAGCGAAGCCGCAGAACTGCATAATGCAATCCTTACTAAGTACCAGAGACTGCTCGGTAATGCCTCACCATGGTCACGTATAGACCGAACAGATGGCACACATATAAGCTGAGCCCACGCTTCATTTTTTTTAATGAAACCTACAAGTCTTGATTATGAAGATATTAATAAAGATTGTAAAAAAAGGTTTAACAGTATATAATATAAAGTTCCAGTGATAAGACAGAAAGATAACTTTTTACAAAAGAGGTTTAAGTAAGAAATTAATCTATTTTTCCAGATTTAAATCACGCATAAGTTTTTTCAAACAAACCAACATTACGGGCCCTTCACAGGTCCTATGGTCACGATTGGCTGAGGTGGGTAAAGTCATTAACCAGTTATGTCTAATCTTGAAAGAGGTTTGAAGATTCTATGATTCTACGAACCAAATTACTCGGTAACTTTTTATGCTCAAAAAACAATTATAAAATTTCACATATACATAATTTTTTTCATATAGCTAGTATTATTTTTATGATTTTCATAGCACTTTTGCCGTATGATCACAGGTGGTTTTATTACACGAAGAGTACGAAATATGGAAACTTACAGTTCTGAGTGTTACGAGCTGCACGGTTGTACACTTTAATGCATGATAAACATTATTAGATAGATATATGTATTTCTAGAATTATTCAGCTCTTCTAGAAAACACGTGTTGACGAAGTTAAACAATTCTCCGAATTAGTGAATAAACAATAGTGGGTCGAAACATGAATTCAAATAAATTGTTTTAATAATACAAAATTAAATTCAAAAGTACCAAAAACCAGAGAATTACAAGACTTAAAATAAAAATAAATGAATTGGATTGTGAGGATTCGATGAAACCCGCAAAACTACGACATTTAGCTTAGATTTTATAAAAGCTACAATGGATGTTATAGTAAAAACAAATTGTTTTTAATCTGCATTATTATTACTACATATTTAAAGCATATACCACTAAAATATGAATCAAACAAGATTAACTTTTTAATCCATAAAAATAAGTCTACTTGTCTTCAACTTTTTCTTTTTTTAACCGACTTCGAAAAAGGAGGAGGTTCTCAATTCGACCGTACATTTTTTTTTTTTTATGTATGTTACGTGATAACTCCGGTATTTGTGAACCGATTTACATGATTCTTTTTTTGTTGGAAAGGGGGTACTTTCATAGTGGTCCCATTTCATTTTGAAGGAAATCATTTACCTCTAAGGGTGGCTGTTCACTCATGAAGATTAATTTTTATAAATAGCGCCTAAATTTTCTTAAGGAGCAATTACTTTAATGGTTATTTTTTATTTTTATTTTTAACTAAATCTCCAATTCAAGGCGTTTTTCTCCCAATATTGTTTGAGTAGTGAGAACCGATTTTT